AGAAATGTGTTGCTTTGTCTACTACAGAGGCAGAGTTTATCGCAGCTACTGAATCTTGTAAGGAAGCACTTTGGTTGCAGAAGTTTCTACAAGAGCTTGGCATGAAGCAAGAGAGGTAAGTGGTGTATTGTGATAGCTAGAGCGCTATTCACTTAGCTAAGAATTTCTCATTTCATTCGCGGTCAAAACATATTGATGTTAGATATCATTGGATTCGGGATGTACTAGAGTCCAAGGCGTTGTTTCTTGAGAAGATCCATACGGATGACAACAGTGCTGATATGTTGACGAAGACTGTGAGTAGAGACAAGCTCCTGTTTTGTAGGCAGGAAGCCGGTTTAGTTTTACCCCCCAATTGAGGTGAAGGGGGAGATTGTTGAGCCTATTTCCCTCCAATTGGGCTAGCAAAAAGAAGAAATAAAACCAAGCCTTATTGGCTTTGGTTTTGGTTTTCTTGACCGGGGAAACAAACCCAATTCCATTGGGTTTTGGGTTTCGGTTTTTTCATGCTTATAAAAGCAAGGCTTCCGTAGAAGCTTTGGTGTGTTTTCCAGCCAAGAAGAGAAGAAAAGTTTGGGCAGCCGTGGGTTGCTTTTGTGCGAGAGAAAAAGAAAGAAAGCTAGGGTTTAGTTTTCGGTTTAACTCTCTTTTGGTTAGATCCTTCCAGTCCTACTTTGTGATATGTGTGTGTGTGGAAGAGTATTGTTGTAATCCACCTTTGGGTGAAGTCCTGTGTATCCACCGGTTGGTGAAGATTGTTTTCCCATTATTGTGATAGTGGAGATTTGACTGTTGTTACAGTCCCGTGATTTTTCCCGATTTGGGTTTCTACGTAAATTCGTGTGCCTCCTTTATTTTATCAGTTCTTGAATTATTTTACTTGTTTGGTTGTCCTATTTTATTGGTAGTAGGAAAGGAGATTTTCTTGGGGTTCGCTTCCGTAGTATGTTGTGTTTATGTCCTTTCCGCCACAACATTGAGATGTTGTGACTTGCTTATTTTTAATTTAGCCCTTGACATATTGGCCTTCATCCGTTGGTGGTAAAAGGATCGAAGTAGAAAGAATAATTTAAATATACAAATTGTTTGTAAATAGTTTTGGGAATCAACCATGAGGGTAGTTGAAAATACCAGACAGGAAATTCGTCGACGACATGAAAGTGACCTCTAAGAACGATTTTCGTTTCTACTCAGAGATCAAGCCAGACACGATTCATGAAATTCGTAGTAGGACGTGGATGCCCTAATTAATAGGGATTGTGTTTTGCCGGCGTCGATGCTTTATATTCATCAACGAATTCCTACCACGGGTTCAGATTTGTACGAGGCTGCGGTATGGAAGTGTAAATGCGGCGGCAAGTTATACGATCCTTGATGGATGGATGGATGGATTAAATTGATGTTTCTTCAATCAGAATATAGGATTAGGTTTAGTTTCGACTTTACTATAATCATGGTTTATGGTTCGAAGAAAATTTCTTATTCCTTGGATTTTAATAAAAAAATTCAAGTTTAATAATTTAGTTTCACTTATTTTCCTTTTGACAGAAAATAATATTGCGTTCTTATTGTGTTGTTCGCAAACAATTTTGGCTCTTCTTGTTAAAAGATCATTGCCCTAATTATTGTGTTGTTTGCAAAAAACTTTGCGATTCACTTTGTTCTTTTTATGTTTGATGCAAATTTGGTGAGTTCACGGGGACGAATCTAGGGACATGCCCGGAATTTTTTAAATTTTTTTGTTTTTTGTTTTTACAGTAACACCTTTTCCAGATGTAACTTTAACTTGTACTACATCGAAGAGGGTTTTTTTTTATTTTTTATTTTTATAGATCAGTACAATCATCAAATTTAACGGGGTTGTCTCCAAAGTAATTAAAATAGTACTTTTCCGATTAACTAGGTTTTTTTTTTTTTTTGGGTAGGGAGGGAGTATCAAATTAAGAATATTAATCTTTATACTTACTACTACTTATTAAAGCCACAATAAATTTATATTCTCCAGTTTATGTAATATTTTGATTGGTAAAAATTTTGATGATATAAGCAATTTACAAGTGAGCGATCTGATTGGTTAATTTTTGATGATTGGTCGTTTTAACGCCTACACAAGCAAAATCCCCCCTCAATTTCAGATATTTCCCACGCTTGGTTTTCTTTCCCTAGTGTTCTCTCGATGTCCTTAATTCCCCTCAACTTATGTCTTCAAATTTTCACCGTTTCCCTTCCTCATTCGTGTCAATTTTCAGGCTCCCAATTTTTGCGTCGCGAGGTTTTTAGGCGGTGGCATTGGAGGTGGTGCAAATGGAGGATTCGGTGGTGGTATTACAGTGCTGACTAGCAACGTTCACAAGGCAGCTTCCACAGTCTTCGCTGCTGGTGGTGGTGGTGATGGATCCTCGCCGTCCTCCACCTCCTACCCCTTCTGCCTCTATTTTTCAGGTCCAGCTTCCAGGGTTATTAGAATAATTAAATAAATGGTTCTTCTTGGATAGAGATACATATGTTAAATTTAGGTCATGAATTCTGATTTATTTATTTATTTTCATCTCTTTTAAGATTAGGTTGCTATATCCATGTAAGCTTAACCATTTAAGCTAAGCAGTAAGTCTAAGTTTTAGATTTTACTTCTTTACTTCATTACTGGAATTGTATTCCGTAAAATATTAGCATGTGTTTAAGTTGGAATGAAAGCCAAACTCTTTTTTTTTTTTTTTTTTAAATTTTTAAATAACCAAGGACGTTAGCTTGGGGGTCATGTCTCCCATTTTTATTGATTCTAAGAGAGAAATCATAAAAGGGTACCGCTTAAGACTCATCCTTGCAACTTCAAAGTAGAATTACAAAGGGAACCATAGCATTTATTTACCTCATCTTTCGAGTCCTAATATATGGAAATCCCCTTTGGTCTAAAATCACAAGGGCAAATGCTCGATGAGGAAGATCCAAATGTGAATATTGTAGGGTGAGCTTTGTCCTCTTAGCTATTTTTTACCCGACGGAGTTGGCTTCACGGTAGATGTGGTGAACATGCATGGTCATGTCAATGCGGAGTTCTTGAATTTGATGCAATTTCATTTTCACTCGCCAAGGCCATTTTGTACCTTTTGTAAAGCAATTTACTATAGCCTTTGAAAGCCAAACTCAACTTGCTTAACTTCTCACTATTTGCATTGTTTCTTAGTTTTGTATGTTGCTCAAAATTTGGACTTTTCTATTTTGTTCAGCCCGTAATTAAGCCAGTTAGAAATAAGAGTGTTAGCTCTAATTCCTTACTGATAATGTCTTAAATGTTGCAATATCTTGGTGATCACTCCCTGTCATAATCATATCATCCACATAGATAAGCAAAATGACAAGTTCACGAATAGAATGGCAAATCAAGAGTGAATAATCATTAGAACCTTGACAAAAAGAGAGTATCCAGGAGGACACTTCATATAAACTGTTCCTGTAAATTTCCATATAGACAAACATTTTTAACATCTAATTAAAAGAGGGGCCAATTCTTGCTAAATGCAATAGCAAGAAGAGTTTGAACTATAGTCATCTTCGCCATTGGAGTGAATGTTCTTCAAAGTCAATTCCATATCCTTGCTTATATCATTATACCACCACTAAGCTTTGTACCGATCAAGAGTGCCATCTGGTTTCAATTTAATAGTGTAAACCCATTTTCTCCCTTTCACATACATATGTGGTGAACGAGGGGCTAAATGCCAAGTATGATTCTCTTCTAACGCGGGAAGCCCCTCTTCCATAACTTTTCTCCAGCATTCTTGTTCAATTTCTTGCTTGTAGCTAGCTAGAAGGAAATTGGATAAAAAGGAGCTCCAAATCATTGTTTGTACGCTTCATTTATGGTATAAACAATGGATGGGACAAACGTACGTATATATATGAGATTGTTATACAGAGTGAAACTTGTGTTGTATTCTAAAAGGATGCTTGTGCGTTGTTCAGAACTTCTTTCTCTTTATATATATTTACAGAGTACAAGTTGTTTTTATACTTTTACAAATTCAGGATACTAAATGATTAACTTTTGATGTTGGATCGATTACAAACTGCTGATATGCAACCAATCACAGATGGATATGGCACAAAGGATTTGATGTCCTTTTCTCAGGTGGATGGTGCTGATAAAACACTTGTCCCACATCGATGCCGTGAGAGACTTGGTATCAATATATATATAAGACATATGGGCTACTCTCCTTATTGCCAATTGGTTTTGAGGTGGAACCCCATGGGTTTCTATATGGTATCAGAGCAGGTCGGCCCAGTATTATAATAGGTGATCGGACTGCTTAAAGTCCATGCCTACTGGGCCAGAGGCAATCAGACTAACCCATTAAAAATATCAGGTGATTTAGTCCATGCCCGTTGGGCCTGAGGGGGAGTGATAAAACACTTGTCCCATATCGATGCTGTGAGAGACTTGGTATCAATATTAAAAATATCAGGTGATTTAGTCCATGCCCGTTGGGCCTGAGGGGGAGTGATAAAACACTTGTCCCATATCGATGCCGTGAGAGACTTGGTATCAATATATAAGACACATGGGCTACTCCCCTCATTGCCAATTGGTTTTGAGGTGGAACTCCATGGGCTATGGTAGCTTCGCGCACCTCATGGGTTTCTATAGGTCTATTTGCTGCTATGGTAGCTTCGCGCCGCCTATATAGCTTCATATATGGAGTGAAAGGAAGTATGGAAAGAAAACGAAAGCCACCAAAGTTTTGGTGAAAGTAGGTAAACCAGGAAACTTATTTCCATAACCTAAAAATTAGGTTGGAAAATTTTCTGATCAGTTTAGGAGTTATTAATATCGAGTGCATGCATGAATGATCATAATACTCATATACATGACATAGTACAGAAAGTGGAGCTCAAACTAAACTTGTGTTATTGAATTTGTCGTATGCTTTTTACAAAGCATAATTCAACAAAAATTTATCCTCTAATCTGTCTGAGCATCTTTGACTGGAGGTGGGTCATTACCTCATCATGGAAAACTGGGCCAAAACCTCTTCGTTTCCATCATAATTGAGATTCCTCTTCCGGAACTCAGTCAGAACAGGGTAAATATTCTCAAATGCATTGTCTATTTCCTCCCTATTCTTTGCTCCAGTGAGGACAATTTTCCCAGAAACAAATACCAGCAACACAACCTTGGGCTCTTTCATTCGATAAATCAATCCCGGAAACAGCTCTGGTTCATAAGTGCAGAAGTTTCCGTGTGAATGAGCGAGTCCTTCGAGCCGGACGGTGAACTTGACATCGCAAGAACCGACAACATTCTGAACCTTGAAATCCTTGAACTGGACCTCCGGATATCCAAGCTTTTGCACAATCCGCGCATACCTGCGGGCTGCCAATCTCGACTGCTGCTCGTTCTTGGCTCCGGTGCAAACTATCTTCCCGGAGGCGAAGATTAGGGCTGTGGTTTTCGGCTCTCTTATCCTCATGATCACTGCAGAAAAACGCTTGGGATTGTATTCTGCGTTTCTTGCTTGCAGCGCAATCGATTTCAGGTCCAATCTGCAGTCTAGGTTCACAGTTGAAACCACGTTCTGGAGGGTTGGAACAAGTCCCGAGGGATGCTTGGAGGTATCAACTTCATATACTTGTGAATCCGACATGATAATCCTCGGAATCAATGATTATTGCGTTGTAGTAATTATTATGGTTGTAAAAGTTTAAGGTTTCAAAATTGTTGAGAAAATCGAGATGGTGGGTTAAGGGTTTTGAGAGAAAACTTGCGGAGGAAGTTTTGTAAAGAGAAAAAAGAGTTCCGAAATTCTGATCTTATATAGCCGGTATAAGGGGCGTATATATATAAGAGAATTTTGGAGGTGTCTCCGTATTCAATTAGGATTTTGGGTCCCATATCATATACGGATTCTGAATAAATAGCCTCTCTCTTTCTTTTTCTTAATTTTTTTTTTCCTTTTGTGTGTTTGGGAAAAGGTGAATTGATTAACTGCTACGAAAAGGAAAATAATTATTTATATTAATATAATTATTATGAATTAAAAAATAAACCCTTATCCGGTTTCCAATTTCTTCTTTTTTGAAAAAAAAAAAAACTCATCGGCCGCGAGAATAATTCTTCTTCGTTACTCAACGATGCTCTCTTGCTCCCAAAAATTTACGGATTTTCATCATAAATTTGTATTCGCAAGACTCTACCCCAGACCCCTTCTGCGGTATATCGCACAGAAGAATACCGTCCGCACATCTATCCTATATTTTGCACAGCCGAGATAGGTTTGCCGGTGGGAGGCTTTATAATTTGTTGCCGGGCGTTTAAGGAGAGGAAATAATCTGCGGGCGGCTTGCCTGATCTGAACTTATATAATGCGTTCCATCTGTATAGTTTCTTTTCTGGGTAGAAAATCTGGGGTATCTATACATCGTGGGTAAAAAACTGGTGGCATAACCCTAGTCATGTTTGGCTTTGTGTTAAGCCTTAATTATTTTTTAAACAACCCTTAAGCTTATTAAACGTACTATATAAAATTTATCATCATCTGAACTAGTAATTGTTACAAATTGGGCACGTACGTGTCGTGAGAAAATTAGGAGCATGTGTTATTCCTTTGAGTAATTAAAGCTTTATTAATTAATTGCTCACCCTTATATTTAAGAAGATACACAACATTAGTCCGTTTAAGCTTCACATGCAAATCGTTCATAAACGTAGAATTTATTTACTACTGTTTTTTTTTCCAAGTAATTTAAAGCACCATATTGCTCATTAAAACTGAATTTCCAGGTAACCTTTTAAATTTTTTATTAACCTTCAAAAACATTAAAAATAGTTCCAACTACTAACCACCAAACTTGAAGTACATCTATAGATTTGTAATGTACGATGACGAGTCCATATCCATCACCGAGACTAGACCGGCCCGCCAAGGGTAGGAAGAGTCCAACTGGGACTCTTAGGGCGGTGTAAACTCCTGAAACCTAGTTGGATTCGGAAATATTCCAGGTAATCTCATACCTATAAATAGGGTAGCTCATACCACAATACAGGTACGCAATCTATAGCCGAACAAACTACCTTCCTAAGCTTTCCAGCTACCCCTTTTACTGACTTAAGCATCAGAGTGTCTACTCTCGGGAGACCCCGAGGCCCTGTTTTGCAGGAAACTATAATCGGAGTTCCACAACTAAACCGGCAGCACATATCCAAGCATTGTCAAGCGGCACGCCCGGTGGGACCAAAGTAGGGTTTGTGTCACAGAAACCTTCTCAGGTTTCTTTAACATCTTTTCATAACAACTAGGGTTGCCGGAACAATCGACACGATGGTCAGAGTTGAAGAAGACGCCGGTAGCACGGCATCCTCCGGCCACCAGCATAGTCTAGGAGACGATACTCCCCTGGCCGGATTCCAACGTCGGCAAGAAAAAAGAAAGACAGGAAAAAGTCACGGCGGAGAACCTGGGAAAGAACCGACAAAGGAGCGTTTGGTTCTTGGCACTCCTCAGCCCGATCCGAAGAAACAGAACAACACCAATCTTCCACCTGAAAAAGAGGATATACCTCCTCCTCGAAATACCCCCGCTGCCGCCAAGCGTTTGGAAGACCAGAAACTAGCCAAAATTGAGGCTGAACTCAAGAAGCTAGGCGATGATAATGATCAACAACAGAGGATGCAGAGATATGTTCTCGAGGAAACCAGGCGGCGTTGTCTCCTTGGACAACCCGACCCAACAGAACAAGAGTTGGAAGATTTGATCGACCAAAAAGAAGCTTGGAGAACTCTAGCCCTTCTCGAGAAGAAACGGGGCAAACGGAATGTCCAAGAGCAGGAAAATTACCAAGAAACCGAGGGATACGAAAACCCCCCACGAAGAACGCTCGTATGCTACCAGAGATACCGTATTCTGGAACGCCTTCAGAGAAAGATACCCAGCCTTCGATACCGCTCTCAAGGAATTCGACGCAATATACCAACGAAGGGACACTGGGGAGAATCACGACCCCCCGAGTGTCGAGATCATCGAAGGAGAATAGGGGAAGCCCCCCAAGGCGAACTAACACACGTAATCGCTTAGAATTCAATTGGAATCGAAGAAGCCCTCGAAGAGGTGAGTCCAGACATGACTATGAACCACATCGCAGCCACAACAACATCGAGGGCAACTATGACCAAGAATACCATCACCGTCCTCGATATTCACCTCCAAGACAGCAACAACATAATCGGCATAGAGAAAATCCTCCATATTTCCAGGGAGATCAGCAAGGAACAAGAGACCAGAATACCTTGATCCGAGAGGAAATGAGAAAGATCATCGGGATAGGGCTAGACCGGAGCTCCTTCATCCCCAGCATTCGAGATGAACCTAAGCCCCGAGACTTCGACATCCCTAAAGAATTCAAACCATATTCAGGAGATACCGATGTCTCCCAATGGCTGCAAGGGTATGTCCAAGTCATGAGAATCCGAAACGCAACCATGAACTTCATGGCAAAAGCGTTACCCTCATACCTATCCGGGTCAGTGCAACGATGGTTTGGGCAATTACCAGAAGGAAGCGTCACTAGTTTTGAAGATTTGTCTGTCAAACTAGCCACTCGATTCTTCCAGAGCAAACGGATATCGCGGATGTCCATCGACCTTTCCTCAGTCAGACAAGGACAGCATGAGAGTCTAACCGACTTTCACAAACGGTTCATACAAGAAACCTTGCAAGTCGACAACATCGATGATCGAGATGTCCGCAATGGATTCATCCAAGGCCTTAACCCCTTTGGGAAATCCTCAATGTTGCGAGTTCAAACCCCCTAGGAATGCTCAAGAGATGTGGGCCGTCATCGAGAACCATATACAACGAGAACACACACTCAAGAGGTCCCAAGAATCCTTCGCCTCGGTAGGACCAAAAGATAAGCCGAGAATCCCCCAGGAAAACAAACCAGCACTGCCCAAGATGGATAGGCAATTAACACCCTTAACCAAGCTCCGACGAGAAATCCTCCAGATCCATAGGGACGAATTGCCAGCTCCGAACCCTTGGCACCTAATCCAAACAGGTTAACTGATTAATATTGTGAGTATCACAAAGACCACGGCCACGACACAGAGGATTATCGAGAGCTTAAGCGTGAAATCGAGAATGGGGTCAAGTCTGGGAAGTTTCAGCAATACGTGCAAGAAACAGCCTCCCGACAGAAGAATAATAGGCCCTAGTCACGAGATCACCCTAAAAGAAACTTCAGAGGCCCACCACGGTGGGATGGTCGAGGAAATAATTGGCAACCGAGAACAAATACCCAACAACAACCTTATCCCATTACCGAAGTGGCACCACAGCCACTCCAACAACTCACCCCGGCAGATCCAACGAAGCTAATCACTCAGCCAGGTAGGAGCTATCTACGGAGCTCCCTTCGAAGTCTTATCCACTACAGCCATGAAGAACTCATTGCGAACCGTCACCAAAACTCCTCGACAAGAACCTAGCCACAAAAGGTTCAAAGGAACGGAAGCCATTGTATTCACAGATAGCGATGTGGTCCTAGACATCTGTCCCCACAGTGACGCTATGGTCATAGAAGCAATAATCGCAAACGTAAAGGTTGGAAGGGTCTACGTGGATAACGGCAGCGCGGTCGACATCAAAGCTCCCGAGATCTCCAACTTTCCCTCGTTCAGCAGCAAGACGCGGGAATTAATCCTAAGTGAAACTGATCCCACCAAGATCGTTCAGATTGGGGTTTCTCTCCAAGACCCCTTGCTGGCCAAGATCAGTGCCTTGCTGCGCGAGTTCCATGACATATTCGCCTGGTCCCCAGCGGATATGACAGGAGTACCTCGAGAAGTCATGGAACATAAGCTAAATGTTGATCCAAACGTCAAACCAGTGCAACAGAAGAAAAGAGTATTTGCTCGAGAACGTAACGATGTCATCAACGAGGAAACAATGAAGCTAGTCTGTGCCAACATACTCCGAGAAGTCCTATGCCCTACTTGGTTAGCCAACCCGGTCTTGGTACAAAAACCCGACAACTCTTGGCGCATGTGCCAAGACTACACTGACCTTAACAAACATTGCCCTAATGACTGCTATCCTCTACCAGTCATAGACCAAATGGTAAAAGGCATTGCCGGATACAGAGTCCTCAGCTTCCTCGACGCATACAAGGGATATCATCAAATCCTCATGGCACATGAAGATGCAGAAAAGACAGCTTACATCACCGAGATAGGAGTATACTGCTACGACAAGATGCCCTTTGGACTAAAAAATACTGGAGCCACATACCAGCGTCTCGTAAACAGAACCTTTCATGACCAAATCGGCCGGAACATCGAGATTTACGTAGACGACATGGTAATAAAGACCAATAAGGATAACCAAGTGGCCGCAGATATGCGGGAGATTTTCACAATATTACGCAAGATTAACATGAAGCTGAATCCTAAAAAGATGCACCTTTTGCGTAGGATTATGGAAATTCCTAGGATACCAAGTCTCCAAGGACGGAATAAGTGTTGATCCGGCTAAAATCGAGGCTATCTTAGCCATCGAAGCTCCAAAAACCGTCAAGGAAGTTCAAAAACTCACAGGCTCCTTGGCGGCCTTAAACAGGTTCCTGTCTCGAGCTGCTGAGAGAAGCCTCCCATTTTTCCATACCCTCCGCAAAGGCAGAAAATTCGAGTGGAATGAAGAATGCCAGAAAACCTTCCAAGACCTGAAAGAGCACCTCAAGCAGCTGCCCACACTAGCCAAGCCTGAGCCAGGAGAAACACTATACATTTACCTGGCGGCTCGAGAGAAAGCTATCTCGGCGGTGCTCGTGCAGCGCAAAGACGGCAGAGAAGCCCCCGTCTATTTCGTTAGCAAAGTCCTGCAAGGAGTGGAAACCCGTTACACACCCATGGAAAGGCTTATCCTCAGCCTAGTCTTAGCCGCACGACGTCTGCGCCCATATTTTCAAGCACACCCCATCATGGTTTTAACGGAACAACCAATTCAGCAACTCCTACTAAAACCAGAAGCGTCCGGCAGGATGATGAAATGGGCAGTCGAGTTGGGCGAGCACCACATTGAATACAAGCCTCGATCAGCCATCAAATGACAAGCCTTTGCAGATTTCTTAGTAGAAACGCCTCGAGATATTGAAGTCAAAGAAACGGCGGAGCCTAAAGATGATCCCACTACTCACGTCCACATCAACCCTTGAGCCTGGTCACTATACGTCGACGGATCTCATTGGGATGAAGGGGAAGGAGCCGGCATCATATTATCCAAACCTACGGCCGATCCCGACATCGAGAGCATGAAGGAGTATGACGCAGAATATACATACGCACTGAGGTTCGGTTTCTCGGTTACCAACAATATAGTAGAATACAAGGCGCTGATAGTAGGACTGAGCATGGCACTAAAACTCGGGGTCCGCAAAATCCAAGTTTTCAGTGATTCTCAAGTAGTGGTGAAACAAATATTGGGAGAATACACAGCAAACGACGAGCAACTCAAGCGCTACCTCGAGAAGGTCCTCAACATCAAGGACAAGTTCGAGGAATGCACCGTGTGCCACATAGTCCGCGCAAAAAATAAAAGAGCCGACGCCCTCAGCAAGCTAGCCTCCTCGAACTTTGCACACCTTAGCCACAAAGTGTGGGTCGAGATTCTCCCCAATCCTAGCATCCAGGGCACCCCCGTAGCGACTATCGTCGAGGACGGCGACACTTGGATGACCCCGTTTATCCAATACCTCACAGATGGGACGTTGCCAAGTGGAAAAGCAGAAGCCAGAACCCTCCGATTAAAGGCAGTCAAATACACATTACGAGACGACATCCTATACAAGCATGGATACCTACTACCCATGCTAAGGTGTATTGGTCCAAAGCAAGCAGCCTACGTACTCGAAGGATCATGTGGAGCCCATATGGGAGCAAGAGCACTCGCCAAGAAGGTTTTGTGAGCAGGATACTTCTGGCCAACAATTTTCAAAGACGCCTACCACTGGGTACAGAAATGTGAGAGGTGTCAACGCTTCTCTCCCATCACCCGACAGCCACAGCACGAGATGGTCACCATCCAAAGCCCTTGGCAAGGACAGTACAAACGTCGCCCGGAAACGAGGCAATCTCCGCAGGGGAACTCATTTTGGATATGGCACCGGTACAAAAGCTCCCCACAGAGGAAGCTGCTCGAGGCTCAACCTTATCAAGACCTTCACCATGGCTTCGTGCATGGTTTTCTTTGGGTCCTTCATCAGGAGCTGCTTGAACCATTTAGCCTTAATTGGTCTACCCTGGTCGAGCCTCTTCAACCCTGCCACGCCAACTCGGTGTGCACCACACTTGGTGGCAACCAAGTTCATCTCCTCGAGGGCTGCGGCCATTCCCCCTGTGGACATCATTTTATACATAAAGGCGGTACACCACTGGTGAAGTTCCTCCTTGGAAATATGCAGGCTGGCAAACGACTTCATCTTCTCGTCAAGCTCATCATATTTGGCCTGGACCTCGACAATTTCAGCCTCCTTGGCCTGAACTTGGCGAGCTTTCTCCTCGAGGGTAACCACCTCGAATAACGCCTCGTCCCTTTCTGCCCGAGCTGTAGCTAGGTCTTCTCAAAGTTTCCTCAGCTGCATAAGTAGGCCATCGAGGCCGCACTCATCTAAACCAACATAGCATATCAGGGACACATTGACATCAGCAGCAAATTTACAACCTAATCTGAAAAATTACTTACCAGTCTCAGGCTGTCAGCTTCATTCAGCTGGGCAGCGAATTCCTTGAGAATAGGACACTCGATTGACGGCGGGTTGCTGAAGGTGTGAATTGCCACAGATGGGCCTCCCTCGAACAGTTGAGGAGGCAAGACTATAGCCTCCCCCTCGAGAGGGCCCTTCCCTTTCTCTGCCACGGGAGGAACTATGCTTGGCCCTGCTTCTAGCACAGTTTTCTGAACGGACTCGGTGACAAGGGGCAGCATCTCGACGCCCGACTGTGCGGTTTCTTTCGAGGGCGCATCCGTCTTGGCCTTCTTGGATTTTGCCCTATCGCCCACCTTCACGATCCTTTTCTTCTTTTTCTTCTAAGGGGCTGCAGTAACAGTAACGTCCTCATCTGAATTCACAATGATAAAAGGATCTTCGTCACCAAACAATCGAGACCCAGCATTGCTTGACGACATGACCTAACAACAAAGAAAAAAAAGAAGAAAACGATTAGTACCTTGATCTTCTTCAATAGAGATTTCGAGAGGAATTCTGGTTGCTCCCTTGACGATGACTGTATCACCTTCCTTCGCATATGCAGGGGCACATAGTATGGAACGTCGTTCCACTTAACGACCTTCGAATATTTTAGAATTTTCTCCATATCTGCCTGGAACTCCTCGACACACTCTTCATCCTCTTGGGTCCATTCATCTTTTATGGCCCCGAGACCCTCTGTCTCTCGGAGATTCCATGGCAGACAATAACTTGCAGGCGCCTTTACAAACACAAAGTCCGGTTTCCATTCCAGAGAACCGCCATACGCCTCGACCATCTTCTTCACGCCAGTTCTAAGGCGTCTTTTTACTATATACCAATCCTGGAAAGAAGTCGAGGCCACAACTACTTGGAAAAAATACCTCCACAATATTAATCGAGGTACTACTCTTACATGTTGGCACACTCTCGCAAACCCCAGTACAAATGTAATTAAATTTGGGGTAAAACGAGCGAGAGGAGTCCTATAAGGTTGAACAATCTCCTCAAACAGGGGGTAGAGGGGAAATCTAAGCCCTAGATGCATAAATCGATCATACACGGTAATTCTTCCCCTTGGAGGAGAGTTGCCCCTCTCATTTCCTAAGGGAGCTCTCGCCTCTAAGGCTGAGGGGAAGTCATACTTGGATCTAAGACTCTCTACCTTATCCACTAAATCTATGGTGGATACAAAGTCCAAAACTGCTTTTCCTTCGGAATCCCTAACCATAATTCCGGATAGGATCTACTCTGGCTACAACAGAAAAGGAAATGGAACAAATCGGAGATTCAGATCTAGAAACTTACTATGTAAGGGGGACGTGACCACTCGCCTTTTGAATTATAACTCCCCAATGTTGTTCAGAAGCTTCAATTTGCAACTCCTTTGGAAATGGCGTCACCGGGGCAGTATATCGGGTAAAGTCTTGAAGATTCCGGCCGGGAAAAGAAATAGGATGCTCTGGTAAAGAAGAGCAGAATGGGGGCTGGAATACTTTTGCAAAAGAGAGGATTTTGTGTTTTTGCAAAGAAGGAAAAGGATTAAGTATTGAAGGGATGGAAGAGTTTTTTTTCCTTAAAAACAAAATTGATTCCCCCACGTTCCTCTAATTATGGACCACGACATGACAGTTATTGCAGGTTTCAAGGAAGTAATGATGTTGAGGCTGCCGTTTGGGGAACGTGCCCGCTAATAATGCACAATTGAAAATATTGGGCGGGATTGGGAAGCGGGTCGTCTTCCCGGGCCTAGACCTGACCCGACCAGTTCCTCTCGATCCTCCGAGATCGAGGGTTGTGTGTTTGCATCGAGGATGTGTGGCATGTGGACTGATAATTAACCGAACGAGGGTAGTTATCCACTCTCGGGTATGTTTCAGGTAATACTTATTTTGTGCCAAGTGTTGTTTGTGTTTACGTCACTAACACTTAGCAGGGGCACTTGACGAGTCCATATCCATCACCGAGACTGGACCGGCCCGCCAAGGGTAGGAAGAGTCCAACTGGGACTCTTAGGGCGGTGTAAACTCCGGAAACCTAGTTGGATTCGGAAATATTACAGGTAATCTCATACCTATAAATAGGGTAGCTCATACCACAATACAGGTACGCAATCTATAGCCGAACAAACTATCTTCCTAAGCTTTCCAGCAACCCCTTTTACTGACTTAAGCATCGGAGTGTCTACTTTCGGGAGACCCCGAGGCCCTGTTTTGCAGGAAACCCTAATCAGAGTTCCACAACTAAACCGGCGGCGCATATCCAAGCATCGTCATACGACTTTACTGCTTAATGCTAGGACCATTCAAATTTTCCAGAAAAACAACGTTGGGCTGTTTTATTTGATAAGTTGATCCACGAAAAGATTAACGTTCCGCAAAATCCTTGAACATTTCCAAGCTTTTGAATGGCTCAGCCAACACCCAAAGCTTTTGCTATAAAGAATCTCCCCTATGGCGAAGATTAGGGCACTGGTTTATGTGTTATTCTCACATAACATATAGTTACCGCACAAAAACACAATTCGGATGTTTCTTTTGATATTTTGAAAATTTATAAAAAGACTTATTTAAGGTCACAAAGCACAACCTGGAAGAGAATACAAAAGTGCAATATGCTTATAATCCAATGAAAATTGAATAACAAAGTGCGACTCCTAATAATAATTCCTAAAAACCAATCAAATGTATATATATCATATCTCCCCTATCAACAAATTTCAACCGGCCATCCAGAAACGATACATGAAAGTGGCAGTCCGGCAAGCATTCTTTCACATTCATCTCACCAGATGCGTTCTTCCACCCAACAGGCCCTACATTGAACACCGTCATGAATTCTTCGCCTTTATTATAATCAGGGTTACCGTACGTGAGGGGCTTTTGTTCGACCTTTCCTACTCTTATATGCTTGAAAAATGATCAACTTTTCCACTGTCCGAGAATCCCAAACACGATATCCTTCATACTCATTCAGATCGAGATACGCAATGTCAAATCTAGAGCCGGACGCGAATCTATTCCCCTTGATCAGTACTCCCATACCATCCGCGCGGTAATGTTCAGCAGCGTCCGATTCCTGGTCCCACCCCGCAATCAGTCCCACTTCAGGACGAGAAGATAAAATGTCGATCCTCAAATGTGATGCCTCTACGATCTTAATTCTTCGATCCTTTTCGCGTTCATATTCAAGGCACTTCGCTTTCAGATCTTTAAGCAACTGTTCACTGCCGTCTATCTCTCCAGAGACGGTGGCAATCATGTGAGGATTAAGACCAATTACATTCTGGGGCAATCCGCCAGAGGCGCGTGGATGATTCACAGCCACCACGAGCTTTCCATCGCCAGATATAAAAGCAAAACACGGGGGACCCTTGTCTGGAAACTGATAGTGTTCATAACGTCTATCAATCCAGGCCCGTTTCAAACCAGCTAGCAATTGTTCGCGTCGAATAGATTCGGGATTGACGACTTCCGCTCCGTCACCCAAGTGGAGATAATATGACAGTGCCTTTTCAGCTTGTTAGCCAGGCTAAGGCCACCACCGGACGAAGATAAACAGCGATCGTCGTCCATACCAGTGGGCAGAATCTTCTCATAATCGACGCCGGTGCTCGACAACTTCTCGGGATCGATGCCGGGAAAGGGATTTTTATCAGGTTCATCCGGGTTGAGAAGAAAACCACCAAAGCAACGATGTATACAGGATCTCTTTCGGTAAATTCATCTTCAGAATCTAAGCCGTACACAGGATCATATGATGTTTCCGACGCTGGAATGGATCCATAATTGCTGGCTATTATTTCTGAAGGCTAATTGTAAGATAGTAGTATGGTAAGATCACGGCTAGGGTTTCGAAAGAAAGATGACAAATATTAGAAGAAACTCATGGGTTATAGTGGTAAAAGAGACTATTGCCCTTGCCGGTTCGGATTTTGTCGACTATTACCCGAAAACAGGCTATATGCTTCCTAGTCAAATTATAGTATTTGTTATTCTACGCAAAAAGGGAAAAAAAATTCCCCTCGTTTTTCCTATGGTGAAAAATTATTTTAATATGCTCATAATAAGCATTATCACAATATTTTGAGCAATTTAAATTTGAAACAGCAGTTCTATTAAAATAGGCACCGAATGTGGTGCGTGGAGATGACCTTGTCATATTAGGTTACAAGACCTGCAGCCATCCACTATTGTACCTAACAGAACATGCCATATTACTTCCAATAGATGTAGTAGTTCCTCGGTTCCAATGAGATTTGTCCTATAATAAAAATTTTTTCCTTAAAAACAGAAATAGTACTATATGAAAAATAAGAGACGAAGTTGAGAATTTAGGGGAAGCAAGACGCATATTGAAGATCTTTAAGTCTTAAACTTGTAGTTATAAAAGAGCCTCATAAAGGCTAAAGCCAACATTGACATATGTGAGCTTGAGATGAATTTTTTTGAAAAAAGAGTGTGTATTACAAGAAGCATAATACAAAAAGTGTTATGAAAGTGTTTTTGCGTAACGATTAAGATATATCAAATATACCAGGAAGAGTAATAATGTAAAAAGTGTTCAAGAAAATATTTTGTAACAATGATTAAGATGTGTCAAATGTCGTAATTTAGATCAGGGTCCATAATTAAACTGCACGATCAATTAATAACAACATCAACCGCTCTCTTAAGGACACAATCAATGCTTATTAGAATTTTGAACTCAGTACTTTCGACAATTGAGAATCGCAATCAAAAAGTAAAAAAAGAAAAGACTCAATAATTAACATCTTTTTAAACAGTATATGAGAAATAAGCCTAAAAATTAAACAGATACAGTACGACAATAAACTATCATCTTGTTCCAACCATGGTTTAACCCCGTTAGTGGCATCTCGAGTCACTGTAACTTGTATGAACTTTGTGCCACTACTGAACCTAAATAATCTACTATAAAATTTGACCATTTCTGCACCATCCAATCTTCAGAAGGCCGATATTAAACCCAAAAATTACGTTTATATTCTTTACTATCGTAATAATACTCTTATCATCAACTGCAGCCGCTATTAGCTTTCTATACTCGTCCTCTGACGCAAGGTAAAAGGTTTAACGCTGGAAAGGAACCTCACAATTCTACTCTTGTAATAGAGCAAAACTGTATATTCATCGGAAACTGCACAAATCATCTACCAAAACAATCCTCATAGCATCCCCCCGCATCCTACATTAATTAACTATTGAACCACGCATTCTTTCAGAAACCTACTTTGATTTGTTTTCTGGGTTGTTTTATTTGATAAGTTGATCGTGAAACAATTCACATTCTTAACTCGATGCAAGCGAATCACAGAATCCTTGATTTTATTGAATGGCTTACCGAAGCTTTTTGCAAGGTCGCTCGTGGCTCCAGAATACAAAGAACCGTTGTCAAATCCTCCATGATCATGCAAACAAGTTATACTCCGTATTTGTTAATTTTAGTTCCAAACATGATTTACGCCTCTATTTTCAAATTAAACGGGCATTTGGCTAGTTCCAAATTACTGTTTCAAATTTCAAATTTGTCGAAAAATCAGTAGCTAGATCCTAGATGAGAAAACTTTTATGATTTATTTATTTTGACATGGATGATAAAACTTAGTAGTGGTAAAACCCTCGGAAAAATAAATATAAACTGGATTTATATTATGCCTTTCAAATTTGAAAAGACACAACGGTCACAAACCATAAACAAGAAATATACTCTTAATAAATTCAATGGAAAACAAAATAACAAAACTGCGACCAATGATAATTTCTAAAAGCAAACGCATCATCATGCCCCTATTCTTCCCAATCATCATCCCCATCAACAAATTCCAACCGGCCTTCCAGAAATGATACATGAAACTGGCAATCGGGCAAGCATTCTTTCACATTCATATCTCCGGATACGTTCTTCCACCCAACAGGTCCTACATTGTACACCGTGACGAATTCTTCACCTTTATTATAATCAGGATTTCAGTGCCGGGTTTTTCTTTGACCTTTCCTCCTCTTGTGTGCATGGAAAATGATCAACTTTTCGACCGTACGAGAATCCCAAACATGATATCCGTCACACTCATTCAGATCCATATAGACAAAGTCAAATCGAGAGCCGGAAGCGAACCTATTCCCCTTGATCAGTACTCCCATACCATCCGTGCGATAAAGTTCAGCAGCGCCCGATTCATGGTCCCACCCCGCGATCAGTCCCACTCCAGGGCAAGAAGATAAAATGTCGACCATCAACTGTGATGCCTCGGCAACCTTAATTCTCCTACCCTTTTTGCGTTCATATCCAAGGCACTTTTCTTTCAGATCTTTCACCAACTTTTCGCTCACGTCAATTTCTCCAGAGCAATGTTTGCAGGATTGTGATCCTACATAGGATTGAAATGGGGTCATAGGATCAAATCGTAAATGGGATCCGTAGGATCGAAATAGTAGGATCGTAAAATTAATTATACATGTTATATAATTAATTGCTTTGATAATGCAGTTGCAATTATATTTAGATAAAGTATTTAACATTTTAAACAAAACGAAATGCATAAATTCAATTTTCTTATATGAATTTTTGCAATTCAATTTTCTTATATGAATTTTTGCATAACTTTTTAATAAAAACTCTTTTCTTACAGTTCTTCTTTTTATTTTATTAGAAAAACTTTCTAAAATATATTTTTCTTGGCAATAAAAGTTTCATCAATGAATATTAGACTCAATTGAATGCAAACCCAAAAAAATAAGAGAAAAAAAATCTCAATAAACTCAATTAATTTTTTGTAATTGATGAATAGTAAACTCGGACCGATCTTACGATCCTGACCGATCCTGACCGATCCCACTCCGATCCCATTACGAAATTCGAGTTTGGTCGATTCAGGATCGATTTAGATGTCTGGGATCGTAGGATCGGACGATCCTACGATCCGGGATCACGAGTTTGCAAACTATGCTCCAGAGACTGTGGCAATCATGTGAGAATTAAGATCCGTAACATTCTTGGGCAACCCGCCCGAAGCGCGTGAATGATTAACAGCTGTCACAAGGTTTCCATCACCGGATATAAAAGCAAAACACGGGGAACCCTTGTCTTGAAGCTGATAGGATCATAACTTCTATCAATCCAGGCGCGTTTCAAACCGGCTAGCAATTGATCGCTTTGAATGGATTCTGGATTGATGACTTCAGCTCCGTCACACAAGTGGACATAGTAATGACGGTGGTTTCTCAGCTTGTCAGCCAGGCTGCAGTCATCACCGGACGACGACGATAGAGAGCTATCGTCGTCCATCCCGATATACATGACCTGCTCATCGTCATAATCGATGCCAATGCTTGAAGACGGACCTTCATCAGGATCTCCCTCGGTAAATTTATCATCATCTTCATCAGGTTTGGATTCATCGAAATCTCCTTCGGTAAATTCATCATTTTCATGTTGTAAGCCGAATACTAGATCATATGATGGAGGATTCATGATTGTTGCCTATTCGCTAATTTCGTAGATATAGTAGCTAAAGATGACCCGGTTCAATTTTCGAGTTGGGGATGCAAAAAAGGAGCAGGTGCAGTTAGGGATTTGGATTGTTAGCAATATATAGTTCGGCAACAAAGGAGTCTGAAGTGGTTTTTGTTAATCCCTTTAGGTTTACAAAAAATTTTATAATAATAAACAATCCTTTTGTAATTGGAAAAGTTTTAGTTGACAAAAACTACCCATGAATCAATACTAATTGACATGAGCAATAAGTCAATAAAAAAGCAGAGAACCCAGGCAAGAAACTACCAACTCGAAAATTGGCTATAATTGAATAGGTAAAACAAATCTTCTCTACTTAATAAATCTCCATTCTTATTCGGAGTCTGGCTCCTCTTATGTTGTTTTCCCATTCTTGGTGGAATTCTTGTTCGTTATATTGTATATTTTCTTATTCGCCGAAACAATTAGGGCTAGAATTAGTACTTCATTCAAATTTGTTTAATTTTTTCATGTTAGTTGGAAGAATCCAAAATTTTGCCTCCAGATTTCATCATTTTTTCAATGATTTATTATCAGTGTTACATTAACAACTACATAATTAACCTAAATGTCCTTTTCTCCGGGAGGGGGATTGAGAAAAGAAGAATACATAATCTAATTTAACTATATACCATCTCGCCGTATCGTATTAGCTTGTCTGATAAAGCAGAAGTTTTGTACAAGGTGGTTCTACATGATGTTTTGTAAAGTGAGCAACATAAGAAGCATCGCGTAGTAGTTGAGAAACAGAGATTAAGTGACACTGTACACGAGGTACACAGAGAACATCCTGTAACACCACTTTGCTACTAAGAACAACAGAATCAGACTTAGTAGCATAAGTACATTGACCATTGGGCAAGTAAACCGGAACGGCAGCAGTATCGCGAACATCGCGAAAAAAATCAAGAGAGCCCGTCATATGAAGAGTAGCACCAGAGTCATACATCCACTTATCGGAGAAAGGCTTATGAGAAAGCTTCTCATTGGACCCAAATTAAGCTGAATTTAAGAATGTTAGTAATGTGTGCCATTGATCTTGAGTAAGGCCAGTGCTCGCTCCAGCTTGATTAACCGGACTAATACCAGCTCGATGCTAGCAATGTATGTGTTGCAATCGAAACAAAACCACCAATATCACCAATCTTATGGTCTCCACCATTACCGCGACCATAGCCCCGGCCACAAGCAACACGTAGACCATTCCAACTAGACCCTTCTTGAGACATAGGAACAACCAAAAGAAGAAGAACGGGAAGAAATAAGACAACCTTTGCAATAGAGGCTCAATGAGCAGAGCACAAACAGCAAAACAAATTGAACCGGGTGAATCGAACCGAACTGGATAGGCCAAACCGAACCGGATAAACAAAATTGAACCGGTCTGTTTGAACCAGACCAAACCAAACCAGGTGAACCAAAGCGGTTGAACCGGGCAAAATAGAACCGGAGCTGCAGACCTGAATTTGCAGCGGCTGCAAAATCTGAATTCCAAAGTTGCAGCACCGAGCAATGGAAGGAGACGCCGAAGATGAAGACTCAGGCTGATGGCAGATGCTTGAGACGACTGGCGGACAGGGCCGGCTTTAGGGGAAGCTCCTATAGCCCTAGCTTTAGGCCCCTAAATTATTAAGGCCTATTTTTTTTTTACATATTGCTTATTTTTTTTTCCTCAAAAATATCAATTATTAACTTATTTTTTAAAGCATGATAATATATATCATAAACATCCTCTTCTCATCAATAAATTATTGTTACAAAAGTGTCTCAAAATATATTTCTCTAACTAATTTTATGTTAAAATATTCGTAAACTTCCAAATATATTTTCATTGATAGTTTTGCGAATCTACACTCTTAGTAATATAATCTTAAAGTATCATTTCAATTTTGAAAATTTAGTGGCAATGCCCTAATAAAAATGATATAATGTTAGTATATTTTGTTTAGTGGTTAGGAATCAAATTTGTATTTATAGATAAATCTGATTGCCAAAAACATTTACGTAAATTCCATTATTAAAGGGCCCCGATTTTGAATGTCGCTTGAGGCCTCATTAAGCCTTGAGATGGCACTGCTGGCGGACCAAAGAAAGGAAGACTTTCGGAGACGCCGCACCGAACAAAAGCTTCAGGGAACAAAATGGGCACCAAACAGAATAAATTTTAAGGTGAAAATTTCCGGGCACTCTGCAGCGGCGGCGGGGAACGAACTGCGGCACACCAAGAACAATCCAGCGACTGGGTGATGAATACAACAACAACCGGCGCCAGCTACAAGGAACAAGAACTTTTCCAATCAAACGGACGGCGGGAACAAACAAATGTTGATTATGCCCCAGGAACGAAATAAATCCCTGCGATTGATACCATGTAAAGAAAGAGAAGAGAGACGGACGGCATAATCTTCAGCCGTGAAAAACCATATATACTTTAGGGTTTGTACATCATATATATAATACACACAACCGTAAAAGAGGTAACTATGTACCGTAACTCTAATGTTACATTTACAACCCTAATAGAAGAAGAATTAACACTCATTGATACTTCTAGCTGGACCATCCAACTTCACTTGCGATGCTTGTGGGGTGAAACGCGAGGATGAACAGTTATCATTGTGATCGTTGCAAATATATAGTTCATCTCAGGTGTTTTGCAAGATATATACAAGAAGCGCATACTGTATGATCAAATACATCTATTTATTGTTTTCTATAAAAGTGATGATACAATACCTTAAAATTGAAACTAAAATAAGATATAACTGAAATGATAACATTCACAAAACCACGAGTTGTGACTATTGCCAATTGAACAGTCTGAAAAAAATCAACGCATAGTTTGCTAGGTCTCTGGAAGTCATAGGGTACGCATGGAGTAGAAGATGACTAGTTACTCCCTTCATCCAAAGATTTTTTAAAAAAATCCAGAAAAGAATTTATTTAAAACTAGTGCTTGAGCATTCGTCGCGTGATGCACAACGCACCCTATAAATAATCTGGCAGAATAATTTTTTTATATAGAAAAATTGATGATGATTACTCATGATTATAGTGAATAATGATAATGAACAATGAATTTCATCAAACATATAACATAATTAAAAAGGATAACACAAAAAAGATTGCAAGTTCATTAAGTTTATTATTTCTCTCGATTAAAATGGTTTTCTATAGTTAGCTTTCATATAACACTGGCCCTCGTCAATGAATATCAAATAAAAAATGATTTAGAAAATAAGTATTGGAAACTGGTTGCTTGCATTGGAAGGAAACATAGACTAAAACTCATAGCAAATTTTGGACACAAAGGACAAAGGGCTGAAGAGTTTCGTCATCTAGATTTTCTTCACTGCGAGAATAGCTGAAAATGGCTGTCTTTTCAGCTACTCTGGCAGTGAAGAAAATTTACCTTACAAAACTGCAAGTGCAAAAGAGAACTTGCATACCTGTTGATCAAGCTTATCAGGCGAAGGAAAGCCCTAGATCGATTGCAATATTGTTGTGCGACCAAGTAAAAAAAATTTAAAATCATTCGAAACTTGTTTTACATATTATGGTTCTGAGTGTGAGAATTGAATGACATTCTAGTTGTTAGAATGCTATGCTTCTAGTCATTACACCTGGGTTCAATTCCCACCAAGGGGTATTTAAGAGGAGTTTTACCCACTTTAAGTGGGGTCCACTAGAGTAGATTTTTTTTAAAAAAAAAAAAGATTTACGGTTCTGGGTCTTAAAATTGCCACAAGTTTCAGGTCAGTAAGGGGGTGAGAACACTTCACTTATGCGGGTAGCAGTTATAAAATTTGTCAAAATTAGGAGTTTAGATGTGCATCATTTGACGTTATTCTTGAAAATGAAAAGCACCAATGCCATTATTCGGAGCAAAAGGACAAGTTCTAATGATCAAAAGTTTGTATTATGATTTTGAGGTCTTCCCTTTCTCCTTTTCTCGTCAGTGCCGAGCAATGACATATCAGAAATACGACATGGAAAAAAAGAAATCTCTTTTTATAAATGAACAAAATTCAAGGGTAACCATCTCCTAAAAACTACAAATCCTACTCCCTCCTGTTCATCTCCCTTTTTATGAATGATGTTGACTTTTGATATGAAACTTGATTATATGCTTTTTAGAATGTTACTTCTTTTACTCAAAGTTGGAATATATTAAATGCAGTTTTTTTACCAACAAAATTTCAAACTATAAAAAAAGTGTGGTGCTCGCAATATAAATACTTAAAAATCTAACGAAGAGATTAATCCATCTCTTTGAACTCTTGCAATCAGAATTTGACAAATCATAAGTACTTGATTTCTACTAACAAAAGTATCATGCAAAATTAGTCAAGTTTGATTTCCCTCAAAGAAGAGCCACCAATAGCAGTGACCCTGCTATCCAAACATACAACAAAGTCACAATTTCACTCAATCCAAGAAGCATCCGGTGAAATTCATTTTTGGGCTATACTTCTTTTAGGATGATTAGAGTGCCACATTTTTCAGTAGTTGTGGTACATGTTGCATCCACTTCAACTTTATGTGCAAGCCCCGCTAGAGCAGCAGCAATGTCCTCCACGGCTTCTATCAACAACTGCAGCAACGTCAACAACAAAATACTACACACTTTGCTTCAATAGTGGTGATAGTGCAGTGAGAATACAAATCCCAATCCCAAATGAGAGTTACAGCAGCTGGTACCATATGCTCGGTTTTAGTAGCAGATTCTAACAAGAAATTAACAAATGTTGCTGACTCCCGTGAGTACTAAGAGTTCATTTTCTCTAACATCATTACCTCAAGCTATGCAGTGGCAGCAACAACTTGAAAACCAGACGAGCCTATTACAAAAGAGCCACTAGCAACAAATGTAGTGTCATTGGTTCTTTTGCAGAGGAAATAGTAGTCATGTTCCAACATCGTCTTGTCCATCTATCTCTGTTAATGGGCAGCAAGAATACTTTAGGGGACATTGAGAGACTTTGATCCGGCATGTGAGACGACTGTTCTCCATAGATACAATGTAGCAAAACTCACATTAAAGTAGCACAATATTCACTAAATTTGCTTCTCTTGAAATGGAGAGCAAAAGAAAACAAAAAAGA